GACAAAGTGTGACGGACGCACGGACGGACGCACGGACAGACTCACGGACGGACGGAACTCGTTTCTATATCCCCCGCAACTTCATTGTTGCGTGGGATAATTATAACATGTTGTATATCTATTTCATGTGTATAAATGCACTGTTGATCAGTAGCCTTATACTGAAATACAATCTGTCTGTCTGTCTGTGTCATGAGCGACGATTTACGAATCACTCTCAAAGAGTAACCCTTCCCCCCTACGTTGCCTTAATGCACCCTTCCCGTACTTGACATGTACAAAATGTCGGTACGGCAACGGTTTTTGGGTATTAAGGAAAAAACAGTAACAGTAGTTCACGCATGCCATAAGTATGAAATGTGTATTCATAGACTTTCAGAAAATGGCTCCGTTATAAAATTGAATGAATGGCCAGGCTGGTGACATGTTGCAGGCAGTCACATCTATTGGCAGCCACCGCCTTTTTCATCCATGTAACATAATGAATGTACGTTACTCTCAATACTTACATGGTATCTAATCCATACATGGGACAAGTTCACTAGATCACATCCTCTTTGGTAGGTTTACCAAGCGAATCGAGGCAACAGCCTTGTGTAGGGCTGGCCTGGCACAGAAATCCGACGCTCACGTTATATCCAAATTTAACTCCTGTTATCCGATCCATGTTCAAGCCGACATGCATGCACATCTGAGATGTGTGTGTATGCAGAAAAGCAGCCGAAACTATTTTTTTGCGCTCTTGTGCTAGTCTACAAAAGCTAAAGAAGACATTTCTGCTTGGAAACTCGGTCAGTACGATCGTTGCCACGGTAACCACCAAAATGAGAGAACTGCTGGAGAAAAGGGAAGAGGCGGCGTGTAGGTGACTGACTCTGAGTGTGTGGGTTCGAATCCCGGTCGGGTTTCAACCAAACAAAAGTACTTGATTCTCTTCTTAAAGGCCCTGTCTCACCTTCACGATTTAGCTAGCGTATGCCGACGTATGAAAAAAAATGGCGAATACGCTGACGTACGTCGAATACGTTATGGGTAAATTTTGTATAAGCTGGTATACTTCGTAGTACGGGGAGGTGGTCGAAAAAATCTGTGGATGCATGGGATTTTCTTTCACATATCAAGTATCTGAAGACCAAAATTATTTCACTCGCAGGCAAACTGTAACGAAAACAGGGTTGCGCAACAGAGACACAAATTACCAGTCTTCCTATATGCGAGCGAAGCGAGCAAAAGTTGGCAAAGTACTTCCCTCGCTTCGATTCGAAAACACGCCAAAGACCCGGGTTGAATCCCCACATGGGTACAATGAGTTAAGCCCATTTCTGGTGTCCCCCACCGTGATATTGCTGGAATATTGCTAAAAGCGGCGTAAAACCAAACTCAGTCAGTCAGTCGATTCGAAAAATATATAAAATATCGCCACCATCAAAGGTTGTGCTCTTGGATGTCCAACCTCATATTTACCAATTATTCTCACGTAAATATATTTCATTCAACATTTTAAGCGCCATACGTGGCATATCAACTAGTTTCCGAGCGTCATACGTGGCATTTCAACTAGTTTCCGCCTGTCAGCTTCCGGTTCAACACGAATGTTCCGTTCGAGGTCGCGTCATACCAAGAAACGTTAGAAACTGGGAATTTGTATCGTGCCTGTTCAAACAAGGACTTGTGAAAATATATTGGTTCTGAGAAGTGTAGCCATGGCAAAATGTGGCAGTGTTTTGCATGGACTGGCATTGTAAGATAAGACCTAGTCTGTAGTGTAAGTACACGCACGAACGAACGCACGCCCATCCCTACGTAAGTGCAATGATCTTGAACGTGACAATAAACCCACATTTGGCCTCAGCTCAACTATATACCTTTGATACACCCCCCACCCTTTGTCCTGACAATGACCATTGAAACTGTCGTGAAAATGACGTGTGTACTCCCCCACCCATACACACACTTCTCAATAGTGGGCACCACCACCACCACCACCACCACCCCCTTGCTCAGAAAGCTGTATCCGCCCCTGCGACAAAGAAAGAGTATACTACAGTGTATTATGTTCCAGGTTAAATTGAAGGGGAACCCACCATCTAAACTCCGACAGGAAGAGAGACTAGTTTCGGGAATTAAATATGTATATTAGGGTGCTAAACGTTATTTGTTATTCACACTAGATAATTTACTTACATTTTTAAAAGACCGATGTTCCAAAGGCAACGCCCAAAATTGTCTCCAACTGTTTTCTCTTGAAAACACTTTTAAATGAACAAACACGTGGTTCCGAGGCCCTTTGAAGCGTAATATAATGTCTCTCTTCCTTCCAATGGAGGAGGCAGTGAGGATAGTTTTACCTACTGGTTAAAGCGTTCATTCGTCACGACGAAGACCCGGGTTCGATTTCCCACATGGGGTCAATGGCTGTCCGAAGCCCATGTCGTTGGTGTACCCCACCTTGATATTCCTGGAATATTTCCCCAAAGCGGCGTAAAACTAAACTCACTCACTCACTTTAATTGTGATTTTGCCAATTAATTGATCAATGTAATCAGTATAATACCGTCTAACAAGTTATGTTTGATGTGTCGAATATACAGTTATCTCGAATTTAATAGATGGCACCTTCGTATTCTTTCTATATTTGTCGACCCGTGGAGATCCGGGGTAGAATAGGTCTTCAGCAACCCATGCTTGCCACAAAAGGCGACCATGCTTGTCGTAAGAGGCGACTAACGGGATCGGGTGGTCAGGCTCGCTGACTTGGTTGCCACATGTCATCGGTTCCCAACTGCAAAGATCGATGCTCTTGCTGTTGATCACTGGATTGTCTGGTCCAGACTCGATTATTTACAGACCGCCGCCATATAGCTAGAATACTGCTGAGTGCGGCGTAAAACTAAACTCACTCACTCATTCACTTCTATATTTGTCGTTTTTCTGGTGTGTTTTCGTCTGCTTTATTATTTTTTACACGGGTCTTTAAAATATATTCTACGTTTTCCTAATTGAAACTCTTTACGTGTAGGCACATTGAATCCTTTTGCATACAGATTCTTAGTTAACTTATTGTTTTTATTTGTAAATCTCAGAATACACGTAGCAATACATTGTAACTACAGTCATAACAAACTTTAAGGGGCTAATAAATTTAGTTGGATTTTGCTTTGGTTTGTTGTTTAACGCCCATTCAGCAATATGAATCCAGCAATTTGACAGCGGTCCTTAAACAATCAAGCTGGACCAGACAATCCAGTGATCAACATCATGAGCATAATTCTACGCAATTGGGATACGATGTGTCAACCAAGTCAGCGATCCTGAAAACCCGATCCAGTTAGTCGTCTCTTACGGCAAGCATTCGTTACTGAAGACCATTCCTAACCTCCACGGGTAACTTAGTTAGAGGTGGCGGTGTTGTGATCTGGGGTGGGATAAAACTGCAACAAGGACGCCAAGTATTGTGACTGAGAGGAAATACTGTTGGGTACCGAGACGAGAATTCGCAAGTGGCCTCTTCACCGGTTTTGCAACAGCACGACACTGGTGACGTTTCAACATGATAAAGTCAGACCACACGTTGCCCGAGCTATACAGCAGTATCTTCATCCGACCGATGTTAATGCGTTTCGCCCGCCAGATTCCCTGATTTGTCTCCCACTAACCACATCTGTGGTGAAATGGAGAGACGTTTACGTCGTCATCCGAATCCTCGAGGAACTGTGTTACCCAGGAAATATGCCTCAAACGATATGACACATTTGCAAACTCTAGTGAAGTCACTATTTACATTCTTTCCCTATGAAACTAGTCAGCAGCTGTAATATTTAACCCAAGAGTGAGTGTGTACCCATGTGGGGGGAATCAAACCCGGGAACGAGCAGACGCTTTAACCACTAGGCTTCCCCACCACAACTTTTAACCCAAGACACTGAAGTTAATCTTTGCAAACTGGGAAACACAAGACTGTTCTCAATTATTCAAAATATATTATTTTACGTTCTTTTTAACGGACACCTGCAAACAATATAAATATGGATTTATTTTCAACACTTTACGTTGCTCAACTTTTATGGGCCCCTTGCAGAATATATCTGCATATATTGTATTTATTTTTTTAATTCAGCTCTATGCACCCAAAACGGTATTACAAGCTTTCGCTTATTGTATTGTATGAATATCGTTTTGATACTAATTTATAGGCTGATGGCAGATTATTTTAGTACATTTAGAATCAATTCAAGGTGGTACAATGTGTTTAGTTATTCTTTAAAAAACCGGTAAATGACAATACGTGTTATGTCAACTGTGAGAATAGATGCATATTCACAGGTCCAATCGAAATGTGTTTCATAAAGTGCGTTACATGAACTTTGAAGCCCATTCAGTTTAGGTGAGGTGAGGTGAGGTGAGGTGAGGTGAAATTGGGTTTGACGTCGTACTTAAGAACATCTCGCTCATATGACGTCGTGCATGTGTGGGTATGTGTGGCTGATTGTACTAGCCCAGACTTAAGCTGGTTTTATATGCTAGCCCACTGAGATACCATGCCGCAGTGAAGCATGAATACCCCACTCAGACACAAATAACACTGACTCCGAGCCGACCAGTCCTTGTACCTATTAATGCCGAGCGCCAGGCAGGGACAAACAAGTACCATATTTTATTGTCTTTTGGTATGAAGCGGCCGGGGATCGAACCCGCGACCTTCCGCTCTCCGGGCGGACCATTTTAGCAGAGAACAAATATTTTGCATATTTTATAAAATGGAATATTGCAAATATAAATAAAATGTTAACTTTGAATATGTAATATGCATTCTATAATCAGTATACTATCACGCATAGTGAACATCACATATGAGGTACAGGGAAAGGCTCAAGTTTTGTTTCTTCAAAGTATACTTGCAAAATATGTTCACGATATCCGCGGGGAGATCATGGTTAATCTGAACATTGCGTGTCACAAGATCGCATTCTTTTTCGTTTCGTGTGGAGCTTCGTGTCACACGATAATCACTGTGGCGACGTCAACCAGGAAGTGTTTATTATACCCGGTGATCGTCCATGCTTCGGTATCTCTAAAGGTAAACAACTAGAACACTGTGGAAATGAAACTTTAATATTTTGTTTTCCGTCTGCCAAACATCGAATCGTCTTAACACATACATTTTAGTTACAGTCGCCATAGATGTAACCACAGGCGATCGATTCATGGGATACGCACTATAGTAGCATAAGGGGCGTATCCCATGCATCGATCGCCTGTGCATATAACTTGCACCTCGAACACGAGAGTAGCTTGAAAGCGAAATCGCTTGAAAATTCATTTTAATGAGTCCTGACTTGAAAGCTGAAAGACTAGTCTGTCCTACAGACCACGAAACAAATGTACTCAATGCAGCCCATGCAAGTCAAGAATGTGTGGCAAGTCTAGATTGAAAAAAAAATATAATTTTAATTTAAAAACTTTTATTTTCTGTAAAATATGTTCATTTCAGAGACGAGCTGTTAGTCTAGCTGAAAGAAGTGTACCAAGACAAAACAACAAAACCATAGTCTTGAGGTATAATCAAGTTTTTGCAACATCTGAAAACTTGCACGTAGTATATGCAACCAGATGCGGTCGTGTTTTAGTTATGATTGCTGGAGTTATGCCCCTTGATCCGTAGTTCACAATATATCCCATAGGCATAGTTGCCCGGCTCTGATATATTTATAAGTATGACCTATATATATAAAAAATATCTTATATATACAGGTCATACTTATAAATATATCAGAGCCGTGCGCCTATGCCCATAGGGCAGAATTTTTATTTTTTGTGTTTCTCATCGCGCGACCGACCCTAATTTTATTGCCGACCAAAAAAATTATTAAAAAATTCATTCCAACACCGCCGGCTCGAACCTAAAACGTACCGACTCGTCATATAAAACGTTACCACACCCAAAAAAATCAGAGTTATGACACTTGACAACAGACCGTCCATGATGTCTGCTACTCGCATAGCAGACGAAAACGAAAAATAAACATCTGGTCTATTTTGAAGTATCACCTTCATATCCCTTTTAAAGTAGCAGTAGTGACATCTTAATTTGATAATCCTTTAAAATTTATGAACTCTATAAACTCATTCAAGCACAATATATAACTGTGTTTGATACACTGGTCTCTAATATTTGTCCTTATATACTCATGCCAATAATGGTTGTCACCCCTCCCCACCCCAACCCCACACCCCCACCCACACTCCCTCTCCAAATATTGAAGGGGGTGACAACCATTATTGGCATGAGTATATAAGGGCAGACTATGCTTTTGTTTCGTTGATCTCAAAGCTACATTGGATTCCATCAATAGAACAAGTTTGATGTATAAACTTTAGACTGGCAATGTCAAAAGTATTCATTAAGATTCATTAGAATTATGTACACAAATGTTGAATCATGTATATCATTGCAAGGTGGCTACACACAACTGTTTGACTGTGTGAGCGGAATAAAACAGGGTTGTCAACTATCACCACTACTATTTTCATTTCATGTTAATTACTGAATTTCGTGGTGTTAATGACGATAGTTGCATTGACCTTGGTGTCTGTCGACTTTTCATGTTACTCTTCACCGATGATATGTTACTGTTTGATAGCACTGTCCGAGGTTTACAAAAAAGATTGAATAATCCTAAAATATATTGTAAAATGGGGATGCCACGATACATCGATACATCGATGTATCGATACTTTTTCCAAGACGATTCAATTATCGATACATTCAAAACTGTATCGATATTTAGTTTTGAAAGTATCGGTTTAAATATGTTTATGTATCATTAATATATATTTTGCAACTGTATCATGTTTTTTTATGTTATGAGCATTTTAAATGATTATTTGTCATGCACAAAGATGGGAAATAAGAACTTTTTAATCTCTGAGAATAAAAAATGTTGATCTTTTCATGGACAATTATAAATGAAATATTAATGTTCAAAATGTAACTAAATTTACGCAATAATGCCGCGAAAATAGATATCGTGATACGTATCGATTCATGAAACTTATGTAACATGACATCCCTATTGTAAAAAGTGGTCTTTAACCGTCAAACTAAATGTATGGTTTTACTGGAAAGATGGTAGATTAAAGAAATACGAAAAACATTGTCTTAATGATACCCAACTAGAAATTGTGACTTCTTACACATATCTGAGTGTTGTTCATTTCTCATGCAGTGGGTCATGGCATATAACACAAAAACACTTTGTCATATCCAGAATGTGTTAAATATTGAACGTTCCCAGCTATCAAATTTCAGAAAATTAACAATATCTATTCTTCTGAACGTCTTTATATATGGGGATTGCGTCCCTCACTGGATGCAGTCAGAGCATACAATAATTTCCTAAAGCAAATGTTGAATCATGTATATCATTGCAAGGTGGCTACACACAACAGTTTGACTGTGTGAGCGGAATAAAACAGGGTTGTCAACTATCACCACTTCTATTTTCATTTCATGTTAATTACTGAATTTCGTGGTGTTAATGACGATAGTTGCATTGACCTTGGTGTCTGTCGACTTTTCATGTTACTCTTCACCGATGATATGTTACTGTTTGATAGCACTGTCCGAGGTTTACAAAAAGATTGAATAATCCTAAAATATATTGTAAAATAGGGATGCCACGATACATCGATACAGATGTATCGATACTTTTTCAAAGACGATTCAATTATCGATACATTCAAAACTGTATCGATATTTAGTTTTGAAAGTATCGGTTTAAATTATGTTTATGTATCATTAATATATATTTTGCAACTGTATCATGTTTTTTTATGTTATGAGCGTTTTAAATGATTATTTGTCATGCACAAAGATGGGAAATAAGAACTTTTTAATCTCTGAGCATAAAAAATGTTGATCTTTTAATGGACAATTATAAATGAAATATTAATGTTCAAAATGTAACTAAATTTACGCAATAATGCCGCGAAAATAGATATCGTGATACGTATCGATTCATGAAACTTATGTAACATGACATCCCTATTGTAAAAGTGGTCTTTAACCGTCAAACTAAATGTATGGTTTTACTGGAAAGATGGTAGATTAAAGAAATACGAAACACATTGTCTTAATGATACCCAACTAGAAATTGTGACTTCTTACACATATCTGAGTGTTGTTCATTTCTCATGCAGTGGGTCATGGCATATAACACAAAAACACTTTGTCATATCAGAATGTGTTAAATATTAGACGTTCCCAGCTATCAAATTTCAGAAAATTAACAATATCTATTCTTCTGAGACGTCTTTATATATGGGGATTGCGTCCCTCACTGGATGCAGACAGAGCATACAATAATTTCCTAAAGCAAATGTTGAATCATGTATATCATTGCAAGGTGGCTACACACAACTGTTTGACTGTGTGAGCGGAATAAAACAGGGTTGTCAACTATCACCACTTCTATTTTCATTTCATGTAAATTACTGAATTTCGTGGTGTTAATGACGATAGTTGCATTGACCTTGGTGTCTGTCGACTTTTCATGTTACTCTTCACCGATGATATGTTACTGTTTGATAGCACTGTCCGAGGTTTACAAAAAGATTGAATAATCCTAAATATATATTGTAAAATGGGGATGCCGATACATCGATACATCGATGTATCGATACTTTTTCCAAGACGATTCAATTATCGATACATTCAAAACTGTATCGATATTTAGTTTTGAAAGTATCGGTTTAAATTATGTTTATGTATCATTAATATATATTTTGCAACTGTATCATGTTTTTTTATGTTATGAGCGTTTTAAATGATTATTTGTCATGCACAAAGATGGGAAATAAGAACTTTTAATCTCTGAGCATAAAAATGTTGATCTTTTTAATGGACAATTATAAATGAAATATTAATGTTCAAAATGTAACTAAATTTACGCAATAATGCCGCGAAAATAGATATCGTGATACGTATCGATTCATGAAACTTATGTAACATGACATCCCTATTGTAAAAAGTGGTCTTTAACCGTCAAACTAAATGTATGGTTTTACTGGAAAGATGGTAGATTAAAGAAATACGAAAAACATTGTCTTAATGATACCCAACTAGAAATTGTGACTTCTTACACACATATCTGAGTGTTGTTCATTTCTCATGCAGTGGGTCATGGCATATAACACAAAAAACACTTTGTCATATCCAGAATGTGTTAAATATTGAACGTTCCCAGCTATCAAATTTCAGAAAATTAACAATATCTATTCTTCTGAACGTCTTTATATATGGGGATTGCGTCCCTCACTGGATGCAGTCAGAGCATACAATAATTTCCTAAAGCAAATGTTGAATCATGTATATCATTGCAAGGTGGCTACACACAACTGTTTGACTGTGTGAGCGGAATAAAACAGGGTTGTCAACTATCACCACTTCTATTTTCATTTCATGTAAATTACTGAATTTCGTGGTGTTAATGACGATAGTTGCATTGACCTTGGTGTCTGTCGACTTTTCATGTTACTCTTCACCGATGATATGTTACTGTTTGATAGCACTGTCCGAGGTTTACAAAAAGATTGAATAATCCTAAAATATATTGTAAAATAGGGATGCCACGATACATCGATACATCGATGTATCGATACTTTTTCAAAGACGATTCAATTATCGATACATTCAAAACTGTATCGATATTTAGTTTTGAAAGTATCGGTTTAAATATGTTTATGTATCATTAATATATATTTTGCAACTGTATCATGTTTTTTTATGTTATGAGCGTTTTAAATGATTATTTGTCATGCACAAAGATGGGAAATAAGAACTTTTTAATCTCTGAGCATAAAAAATGTTGATCTTTTTTAATGGACAATTATAAATGAAATATTAATGTTCAAAATGTAACTAAATTTACGCAATAATGCCGCGAAAATAGATATCGTGATACGTATCGATTCATGAAACTTATGTAACATGACATCCCTATTGTAAAAAGTGGTCTTTAACCGTCAAACTAAATGTATGGTTTTACTGGAAAGATGGTAGATTAAAGAAATACGAAAAACATTGTCTTAATGATACCCAACTAGAAATTGTGACTTCTTACACACATATCTGAGTGTTGTTCATTTCTCATGCAGTGGGTCATGGCATATAACACAAAAACACTTTGTCATATCCCAGAATGTGTTAAATATTGAACGTTCCCAGCTATCAAATTTCAGAAAATTAACAATATCTATTCTTCTGAACGTCTTTATATATGGGGATTGCGTCCCTCACTGGATGCAGACAGAGCATACAATAATTTCCTAAAGCAAATGTTGAATCATGTATATCATTGCAAGGTGGCTACACACAACTGTTTGACTGTGTGAGCGGAATAAAACAGGGTTGTCAACTATCACCACTTCTATTTTCATTTCATGTAAATTACTGAATTTCGTGGTGTTAATGACGATAGTTGCATTGACCTTGGTGTCTGTCGACTTTTCATGTTACTCTTCACCGATGATATGTTACTGTTTGATAGCACTGTCCGAGGTTTACAAAAAAGATTGAATAATCCTAAAATATATTGTAAAATGGGGATGCCACGATACATCGATACATCGATGTATCGATACTTTTTCCAAGACGATTCAATTATCGATACATTCAAAACTGTATCGATATTTAGTTTTGAAAGTATCGGTTTAAAATATGTTTATGTATCATTAATATATATTTTGCAACTGTATCATGTTTTTTTATGTTATGAGCGTTTTAAATGATTATTTGTCATGCACAAAGATGGGAAATAAGAACTTTTTAATCTCTGAGCATAAAAAATGTTGATCTTTTTTAATGGACAATTATAAATGAAATATTAATGTTCAAAATGTAACTAAATTTACGCAATAATGCCGCGAAAATAGATATCGTGATACGTATCGATTCATGAAACTTATGTAACATGACATCCCTATTGTAAAAGTGGTCTTTAACCGTCAAACTAAATGTATGGTTTTACTGGAAAGATGGTAGATTAAAGAAATACGAAAAACATTGTCTTAATGATACCCAACTAGAAATTGTGACTTCTTACACATATCTGAGTGTTGTTCATTTCTCATGCAGTGGGTCATGGCATATAACACAAAAACACTTTGTCATATCCAGAATGTGTTAAATATTGAACGTTCCCAGCTATCAAATTTCAGAAAATTAACAATATCTATTCTTCTGAACGTCTTTATATATGGGGATTGCGTCCCTCACTGGATGCAGTCAGAGCATACAATAATTTCCTAAAGCAAATGTTGAATCATGTATATCATTGCAAGGTGGCTACACACAACTGTTTGACTGTGTGAGCGGAATAAAACAGGGTTGTCAACTATCACCACTTCTATTTTCATTTCATGTAAATTACTGAATTTCGTGGTGTTAATGACGATAGTTGCATTGACCTTGGTGTCTGTCGACTTTTCATGTTACTCTTCACCGATGATATGTTACTGTTTGATAGCACTGTCCGAGGTTTACAAAAAGATTGAATAATCCTAAAATATATTGTAAAATAGGGATGCCACGATACATCGATACAGATGTATCGATACTTTTTCAAAGACGATTCAATTATCGATACATTCAAAACTGTATCGATATCGATATTTAGAAAGTATCGGTTTAAATATGTTTATGTATCATTAATATATATTTTGCAACTGTATCATGTTTTTTTATGTTATGAGCGTTTTAAATGATTATGTGTCATGCACATAGATGGGAAATAAGAACTTTTTAATCTCTGAGCATAAAAAATGTTGATCTTTTTTAATGGACAATTATAAATGAAATATTAATGTTCAAAATGTAACTAAATTTACGCAATAATGCCGCGAAAATAGATATCGTGATACGTATCGATTCATGAAACTTATGTAACATGACATCCCTATTGTAAAAAGTGGTCTTTAACCGTCAAACTAAATGTATGGTTTTACTGGAAAGATGGTAGATTAAAGAAATACGAAAAACATTGTCTTAATGATACCCAACTAGAAATTGTGACTTCTTACACATATCTGAGTGTTGTTCATTTCTCATGCAGTGGGTCATGGCATATAACACAAAAACACTTTGTCATATCCAGAATGTGTTAAATATTGAACGTTCCCAGCTATCAAATTTCAGAAAATTAACAATATCTATTCTTCTGAACGTCTTTAACAGAAATATGGGGATTGCGTCCCTCACTGGATGCAGACAGAGCATACAATAATTTCCTAAAGCAAATTCTTTTTCTTGGTAGAAATGCACCGAAATTTATGGATGTTTATGTTTCAAAACTAGACAATATATAACAATTGTAAAATATTGGACACGGTTATTATACCAAAAGGATAATGGAATATTATACCACACATACCGTTATCAATATAAATTAGCAGAAGCTGGCAGACAATGTTGAACCCATAATGTAAAACAATTGTTAAATAAATATGGTTTTAGGTATGTGTGGCACAGTCAGGATGCAGGTTGTATAAATAAGTTCTTATTTGGTTTTAAACAAAGGTATATATCAATAGACCAACAGACATCGTTTGAATAAATATGTTCGTTTCCCAAACGTATTATATATCAATCTCTAAAGAAGGAATAATGTTGTGAAGAATATTTGTCAGTTGTGAATGTTACTTCATATAGAATAGCCTTTACTAAATTTATGTGTTCAAATCAAAGATTAATGATAGAGGAAGATAGAAAACTTCATATTGCTGAAGAGAGACAAGAGACAAGAGAGTATGTACATATCATACTGTTACACTCAGGAAGTAACACGTTCTTTAAACAGGTCGTTTCTTTTAACTAGTGCATGTTTAATATATAGTGAGGGTTTAATATATGAGACTCGTTCTTAGTCGTTAAAATATATACAAAATAATATATTTAATATATTTCTTTTGAAGGTCACTATTAAATGGACAGACGAACACAAAGTGAATTTCATTTTCTATTTCTGTATCGCATAATTGACAGATTCGTTTCGATTTTGCAATGGAAAGTTTTCTTCCTTCATTTACAAAAAGGTCTACCAAACCTAGCCGATATTTAATAAAATGTTTCCTTAAATTTTCCGTCGTGACTATTGATAAATAAATTTCTGGTTGAAGTAAGGTCTTGGAAGTTCTGTAATAAGCATATCGTGAACTATCTTCTAAAGTGGAATGCCATTTCTGGTAAAACAACGTATGGTATTTCAGTGAGCTACCACTATGAAACCAGCTTAAGTCTGGGCTAGTACAAGCAGCCACACATCCACACGCATGCACGTCGTCATATGAGCGAAATATTCTCAAGTACGACGTTAAACCAAATTTCACCTCACCTCATCTCATATCTCCACATACCACACTTATAGAATCCCTAAACTACGACTGATTATCTAACAAAAACTCAAAGCTGCTCAATACTACAGCACACGTGGTTATAATACGGCGAGCGATCTGGTGGTATATATGTACATAGCAAGTTTGCATTTTTATCAGTTTTAAGTAACACTTTCGATATGGGGGCGAGCTGCCTAAGGCGCCAGGCTAGTAATCCAGCGAGCTTGGAGGTGCCGGGATCGAGCCAATCTGTGACCGGGTGTAAAAAACCTTGGAGTCAACTTTGTGTGCAGACTCTTTCAGTGTTGTCACAACCCCTAGTGTACAGTACACAACCCTGTGCACTTAAAAGAACCCACGAATCCGTTGGTAGATGACCAGATGGTGGCCACATTAAAACGTGCAAACACCTAGTTGCGGGTACAGCAACGTGCAGTGAACTTGGACAAAGTACTGTGACTATATGTCCCAGTCCACCCAGCTGTGAATTGGTACCTCGTAAGTATGGGAAAGCCACATTAACTCGGTGCGCCTAGTAGGCAGCAAGAGCTGTATGATCCCCAGGGTGTTGAGATTGAAAATACGATATGCCGTTGTGATGGACATCCAATGATCGAGGGAAAACAAAGCGCCTTTGAGCAGTTGTACTGGATATCGGCGCTACACAAATGTTTGTATGTATGTTCAAGCACAGGAGGTTATGAACGTTTGATTTAATCATCTTACAAAATTTACTTACTGACACACACACCACCTGAAAGGGTGCCGTAGTCAGATAACTTTATTGCTGGGCTGTTAATGGTGTCATATATATAGTCGACAAAAGTTTCCACAAGACATGTTACTTGAAATTGTTTTAAGTACGATATAAAATCATCGTCAACAATTTTGTTTCATGGTCCGTTAATGTTCCAACAGAGGAAATCAAATGTTTCGCCGGGACAGTCAGCGTTTAATGTAGCACCGGTGTTAACCTTGTTATGTCCTTTTGGGATAATATCCGGGCCTCGGCCAGTTCCCTAGCTTGCAGACACATTTGCGGATGATTTCCGAGCGATCTGCATGGTAATGATCGTCTGTCTCCTGACGCTCCTGTAATGCCAGACATCGCCGAAGTTGGTGTTGTTTCTAGTGTGCGAGGCTTTGTTATCAACCGTTCATCCTTGAAATACCTAAACTTGTTGGTCCCTAGACTAATGCTTAGTCTCTGAATATATATAATTTTGATAGTAACAAACAAGCCCATTTAAATTGAAAAGGATCCCCAGGGAGACCAGAGATTCAGAACCTGAGGAAAAGTAGACTTTCTTTATTTAGGGCTTTGGCACTGCAGAGAGGCCTGTCAGTAGGGAAAATAATGTGGTTCAGGGACTTTGAGACAGACTAGTTGGTCCCCTAAGCGCCTGCAACTGCTGACGCTGACGTGACGTAAGATCAATCGAAATTCCAAGTCCTCCTTCCTTGTATGTGGGTCTCGCTTTCAAGGCACAAACTTTGTCGTGAGACAAAGGGAACCTACACATGACCTTCTCCTGACTACCCTCCAGAGCATGGTTGATTAAAAGAGTAAAATAATTGTTGACATCGTGGTGTGTATCCCAAAATCGATTTAAGCGTGAGCGTAATGAGATGATATAATTCCAACAGAAATGGCCACCGCTAAGAAGCTGACAGACAACTATCTGACCTGTGTCATCTGACCAACATGCTCTGTCACCGTATCGCATGATAGCACTCACTGGATTGTCTGGTTCAGACCCGATATGTTTACAAACAACGTCGTATAGCTGTAATACTGTTGAGAAAATACCTGCTCATGATATAGTCACAATTGTACATTCGACTTTTGGCAGAGATATATTTATGAATGTGGAAAGGGTTTTGACACTTCTTTTTACTAGAAAATGTCTCCTGTAGTCATTTCACAAGTACTCAAAGAAATCATAAGCGGACACAAATACTTCCCTTTAGAAAACGGTAGGCAATAATTGAAATGTTTTTGTGAACAGTTTATGATTCTGTGAGCAGTACATTTTAACTTTCTTAGCAGCTGAAAGTAGTCACAAAAGAAACAAGAAGACAAAATCATCAATATCCCCGCAATGGCAAAATACTCTTCATGTTTATGTCTACTAGTTATGACTGTCAAATGTTTTGGCGTGTATATAGCGACGCGGAAGGAGAGTATTGAAAGGTGTTGAAGTTCTGTTCCATAAAAAATACTTTATTGGAACATTTATATCTCATCTCCTGGTAAGTAATATTGTTGACCTATGTTAAAATCAGATTTTAGTAAACAAAAACAAATTGCGTTATACAAATTCTAAGAAATATGTGATGAAATTTAAAATATATCATAGCTGCAACAAGCATAGCCTTTTCCAAAGTCACCCCACTTAAACATTTCTGAAAATTGAGAAGCATAAGTTGCAAAGCCCTCAATTCCACTATTTTATTCTGGCACTAGAAATGGAACTCTTGATCCTTACGCTGATCAGATCATTTAGAGAGGCAATTATAAATGAAACAAATGAGCCAATTATATATGAAACAAGTGTTTGCCACTAATATGGCAACGTCCCCCGAAATATTTAAAAATGAAATATTTGCATATTTACTACTTTTTGTATTTTTGTCAGATAAAAGATGCATGAAATGACTGGTGTCTGTATAATCACCCAATGATTAGGCTGTCAACATAATTGAAAACATTGGGTACAACAGTTCATGAGATATCGCGTTAAAAAGAGTTTAAAAAGTGGTCAAAGATCACCCAAACTCGACTGGTGTCTGCGTAATCCCCTAATGTATACTGTCACCAAATTTGAAGACATTGGGGACAATAGTTCATGAGGTATTGCGTTAACAAGTTTGAAAAGTGTGACCTTGAAAATAAGGTCAAGGTCGCCCAAATCGACTTGTGTCTGCGTAATCCCCCAATGTAGGCGGTCACCAAATTTGAAGACACTGGGTACAACAGTTCATGAGATATCGCATTAACAAGAATCGGGACGGACGCTATCTCTCTTCTCTTGGCGTAGCCAACCTTATTGTTTGATCAACATGAATACCACCAAACATATCTGAGACAAAAAAGTCGAAACCTGGTTGAAAATTGTCGTATTTCGCCTCATTTGACATTTGTTGACAATGTAATATGGCGACCATCTTGGATTTCCTTCAGCTAAATGAATATGTTTTCTGGCCTATTACATCATCCAATCTATAGATGTTATGATGAAAGTCAAATACGGAGACTACTTTGATTCTGTCTAGTTTTGAATTCAAATTGAAAGAAATAGTTTTGAAACTTTGCTGTTTTTGGAAAACTGGCGGCCATCTTGGATTTTGGAAAGTCATATTTTGCTACATAGCATAAACAATATTTTAATTAACACATTGAGACACAAATACATTGAAAATCTCATGAGAAATTCTGTTTTTAGGAGCTGAAACAAAGATAGTGTAATATAAATGGCAGCCATCTTTGAATTTTGAGTGGCCAGCGTTATTTTTTCAGAAAGTGTACCAAAGTGAACATATATGCAAATTTTGTTGCTTGTATCACAAAGTGAACGATTTTTCTATTATCTGCCCTACTATATCATCTAGGTGCCAAGTTTGGTTAAGAAATATTGAATGGATTTAAAGTTCTGCTCCTGAAAAGACGAATGTGCACGGACGGGGTCTAAAAAGGGGGATAAAAAGTTCAATCCCTAAACATCGTAACGAAATGTTCGCAAACGGCTGAGAAACTCGGGCAAATCCTATACATCAACCACAGGGAAATCTATTCAAGAAAAGTTGTTATGTAGGTGGCCTAAAAATTGCCCATTGACATACCACTGGAGACGCTCTAAAAGAATCTTCATGAATAAATCAACAAGATACTGCCTGAGTGCTTCCACGGGGGATAACTAGTAAACACAGACCCCAACCTTCATGTTATGTTCTTTCTTGTGTGTGACATACCTTTTTGGGGATTGTAGAGATTATATCTTCATCTGATTCTGTCTCTTCCTCTATTTCAGAAACACATGGTTGTGCCGGATTACAAGAGCGATATACAGCTTGATTTGCTAAACCACAATAGTTGGCTACGGTGAAAAACTTCAAACATCTTTCAGTATTTAAATCCCTAGTTTTTTTTATTCTTTGGGATGTTTGAACAGTAGCAGTTAAACCCAAATCTTACATATTTTGTCAAATCAACACCTGTTCAGCCATAAAATACATGGTGATATTTCATGCTTCTAATCCAGAATCAGGGCTTCAAGGATACTTATTACAGGTCGCGTCGATGAGGAAACAATCTCATGGTTCTTTGTTCCCCCTTACTGGGAGTAGCAGAATGAAAAGGCCTAAACGTAGTATTAACAAACTGTGACTCACAGTTACTTACCTTTGGCATCAAGTCACCGAGGTCTTTTCCTTGGTAGTCAGAAATTCTCCCAGAGTTCAAAGCACGGAGTACTTTTGTGACTTTGGCAGCTTTTTGGTCATTCTCAGGAAGCCTATAAAACTTCCTGTGCACAGGTATGTCATGGCCCATAAAAGTAGGAACAATGTCCTGACTTGAGTCGGACAATCCTAGTACTTGTGAAAGCATTGCAAGCTGCCTCCTTTACCTTGTGCTTGTCAGTAACTGTGGTTGTTTGGCACCACATTCCTGAGCAAACCGTCTCAGTGTGTATCAGACCCACGACGTGGAAGTTATGAAAACTGTTTCTCAAAAAGAGCGAGTGAGCGAGACGAACAACGAGACGAATTTGATGTTTATGAAGAATATGTATATATTATAATTTAAACTGTCGTCAACGGTTAGCAAAACAACTAGACTATCACAGTTAGTAATAACTAGCATGTTAAGTTACTGCTTATAGCATTATTTAGACAATACAAAATATTGTAGCTGGATTTACACCATCCATTCATCCGCTGGTGGTGGAAAATTCATATTTGCTATTCATAAGTGTCGACATGAATGTGTGAAACAAAACCAATGAAAATAAATATGAAATTACGACCATTATGGCACCACTCTCTTATAATGATATCAGAGAATGTTTTTGTACACAATACCTGTCATATGATATTATTTTAGTAACAACACAATCAAAAGTTTTTGGATTGTGAGTTTTAAAAAGATTCTGAGGTGACTAAATCACCTCACTGACAAACACGTCTTGTGCCAACTGTACTTGACTGATGTTCACTTCTTCAGTTGATTTATTGATGGGGTCCCCTGGTCCCTCCTTGTGGTTAGTCTAGATAAACCCAAGTTACACATATTGGGATAAACCAGACTATAGTTTCAAAGGTATTTTGCTTCCACAATGTCTTGATTTCAATTGAGTTTAGTTTTACGCCGCACTCAGCCAAATTTCAGCTATGTGGCGGCGCTCTGTAAATAATGGAGTCTGTACCAGATAATCCAGTGATCATCAGCATGAGCATCGATTTGCGCAATTGGGAACCGATGATATGTGTCAACCGATCCCGTTAGTCGCCTCTTACGACTAGCATGGGTAACTGAAGATCAATAGTCTTACCCAATTACCTTTAAAATTCCTTTTTCATCTTGATTTTAAAGGTATAAGGAATTAGTCGTCATATGGATACTTGGTAAAAAAATCACTTTGAGGCCTGACATTTTACATAGGGCTACAAAGAATTTTAGTACTGGGCTACGAAAAACCAACCTGTGACCTACATTACATTAGTCATACAGTTTTGTTGATATTATCATGTTTCAAATTTCACTATTTGTTTCAGTGTTGGTCTGAAATGTGGGCATCCGTGAAGAGCCACCGCCTCGTGGTGGGTAACGCTAAGCGCTCATTCACACACACACACACACACACACACACACACACACACACATCCCGTAGTGGACCCGGGGGTATATTTGGGCCACCAACCCGTTTGCAGTGGGTTGCGCCCCTGTGTCGGTGGAGGAAGGGATTCTGTTGGTTGAGGGCATAGGAACCAGGAACAGTGTTCCTATTGCCCAACACACCACTTCGGCCCTAACTTAACCTAGACGGGGATGGTTGAATGGGCCCGGTGCAACCAATCGGCTGGTCACGCCAAGCCCTGAGCATTACATTATGTAGTGTTGCACAAATTTTTGAAAATTGTAACATAATATTTTTAAGTCTTGGCGATTTTTTAGAATTTCAAATACACACTTTCATGTTTTTGCCTAGAGTCGTATGCCCAGAAGGCGGTGGCTCATGGGCCAATCAGGTGGAATAATTACTTTTGTATTATTCTGCTTGAGTATATCATTCGGGTATCCTTGGTGCTGCAGGCTGGAAACCCGCTTGTTTTTAGCATTGTCCTTGTGATACTCCGTGGAGGGTGGGGAGCTCGGATGATGAAATAATATAAACTTACCATGGCTTACAACCCCCTAAAAAAACACGTCCTCTTGATACTACTGATCCTGATGTTAACGACCAAAGACTGTCCACATCCATTGACTACTGGCCACGTTTTATTGTAATTGAAACCATTGACAATACTCCATTAAAGTTGAACCCTTTCGCCGTATCAAAAGGCATACAAGGCATTGCAGGAGATGTCAGAAACGTTTACGGACAGGTTCTTTACTTGTTGAATGCAGTAAGAGGCAACAGGCAAACCAACCTCCTGTCAACTAAATCCTTTGTCGGCATTCCCGTATCAGTCTCGGCC